AACATATAAATCTTGTTACTGTAGTAACAGTTACCCACTGCTGCCAGACAAGGTTTATCATGTTTAATGAGCTGCACTGAAGCAGGGTCAGTAGTCAGCAAAGTGAGACAGGAGATGTTTTACAAGTTAGCACAAACATTCACACTTAAAGTAAATGCATAGTATAGCTTAAATGTTTTATATGCTGTTTAAGTAATACTGAAATTCAAATAGAAAGATGCATTTTTTGTTCAAGGGAATGTGGTTTGAGAGTGTCTAAACCCATTTTCACAACTGCTTCCTTGTGTTGGTCGACTTTTCTGACAACCTGTCACAGATTTTCCATGTGTGTGTTTTGTTGAACATCTGTACCAGGGCAGACCAACTTCTTCTGATCTCTATTTCCATTTTATATCTAAGAAGGGTGTACTGTTTACCTCTGACTTCAGGCAGAATTATTGGATTTCTTGCCAGGGAATCTGGTTTTTGTTTGGTGTTTTTTTGATCCCAACTTTGTGTCCTAATGAAATAAGCCATGAGACCTTCAGTCTAGGCAAGAAGCCATTTCTGATTTGATATTGCCACCTGGCCTCCATGACACTTCTTGCTACACCCAGTGTAACTAACTAACTAACAGTGTCAACTGGGGGAAATTATATTTTTGTAAGCTCCCAGCAGATCACTGTTAATCATCTTTCATTAGTTTTGCTGCTAACCAGCAGCCAAAACAGATGTTGTCTAGTTGGTAACATTTATCATTGTAATTCATCTCTGTTTGAATGAAGCAAAACAGCAAAGTTCTGGTTCAGACAGTCAAAACCATGAGCTTAAAGAAGCAATAGGGTGACCCCCTTTCACATGACACCTATTCATTTGATCCATTGTTAATACAAGAATATGAATTAGTGCAGCTTTAAGATCATAATGGCTAACGTAATATTTAGTATGTTAAAGAAAAGTTTTGCATAATTTCTTCTGTTAGAGATGGAAACTGTCAGTATGTACAATATGTAATTTCTGCCACTCACATTAACAAAAGACAAAGTTCATAGGATCACAGGAGTTGTTGTCTTCACCACCATTGCCGTCATTGCAGTCAGCATCTCCCAGTTAGGATTCCTTCAGTGTTCGTGGTTCAGGAGCCCAATTACCCACAGTCACATCTCAAAATAATGACTTAGTATGAGTTGTTGTTTTTTTGTTACATTGGCGGAAATAGGCATCCATATTAACCAGCTCATTGCTTCCAATGGAAACAGACAGGCATTTACTGAATGCAGGATTCTTCCTCCCCTATCTCTCCTCTGTCTGAGGTCTGTCAACAACAATGTGTCAGTCTCTGATTGAATAGTTTCCAGATGTTTGAGGTCAGGGAATTCCTCCATCCCAAAACACAGTGGCCAGAGGTTGACCTGATGTTTCCAGAGGTCTTTACTCTGAAACTGCTTCAATCCTAACCCCCTCCTCAGTTTCCATCTCTGTCCTAAAGTGCAGTCTGGAGTGTATTTGAGGGGAACATGAACGAAAACAAAACAATGCCTGTGTTTAAGAGAGGATACAGGGACAAAAAGAAACATCCCAGTGTGACATCAGAGGGCATTTCAAAAGTCAGAATTACTGGACAGGACAAGGGGCACATGGAGCCAGGGGCATAATCATGGATGCAGGAATTATGGAATTGTGACTGCGGGCCTCACCAGCAAACAACTTCTTCTTGACCCTGTAGCTTCTCGTTGCTTAGGGACACTCACTCGAATGGGAGGAGAGGTTGGAAAACACGGCTGTATGTTGAGTAAGACGATATGACAACTTCAGTCCTTTTGTGGTTAATTAGTCGCAGATGAGGATTGACAAAGAGCAGTGATTGAGCTCCTTCTTCATTCCAAGGAAGACGTTGGCTGAACAACATGATTCAGAGGAAAGCCACACTGAAAGTTCTGATGGTACCAGACGACCAGCACACAGACAGTATGTGCTTGATTTGGCCCAAATTCTGTATGTTTTGCTCGAATGCTTTGGCTCAGTTTACATTTCAAGATGTCAGACTTTGAGGGCTGCTAGTGTTGATCCAAGTCACAACGAAGAAATTGAATTTAGCATGACATTCTCAACAAGTAGTTCTGCACATGAACACCTGTAACGAGCCTGAATAAATTGTCCTCAAGGACTATGAATATTGCAGTCAAAAGGAAACCCCAAAAGGTCCAATGAAGACACTTTCCAGAAATGGATTAAGTTTTTCCAGATGTCCTTACATTTGAAGCAGTAATTCTGCAAGTATGTTACTGTTTGCAAATGTTAGCCCACCTGTCTCCTCTTCTTCCATTGGTCAGAACTGTGCTGTTCTACCATACTCCTTTGTAAAGCCTAACAGAAAGCCCAAGGGTGCATTCATCTTCTCAGTAAGAGATCAGATACAATTCAGGAAGTTTAGTTTTTCAGTATTCATAGCTATATTTTTATTAGTGTATAGTCACCTGAAAATAAGACACGTTATTTCTGTGTTACATTAGAATGAGCTGTTTTTATACACTGGGTTTGATTTAATCCAGGTGACAGACTTCAGCATGCCATTGGCTAAATAATTATTTAATTCCAAAAAATGTGCACACGGATCACTTCCTGTGTTTAGGGCTCAACCCCAGGTTTTTCAAATGTCGGTTCACACCCCTAAATATAGTATGTAGAAATTTTGTTTTTGGGCCATGCTATTTTAATTATTATTTTATTATTATTTTTTAAATTTTAAGTTAATTTGGACAAAACCAAATGAAAAGATCAGTGGCCTCACTAAAATGAATGAGGAAGCTGCTTTTTCTGAAGCGGCTATGTTGTAAGCTCCTGGCTAAACGCTTCAAGTACTAACTCTACCAAAATCTGCTTTTTCTGTTCCCAGGCAGTGTAAGGCATGACAGAGCTAAACTCAGGGAATGCACTCAGGGGACCCTTCAGGGGATGGATGAAACCCCAAAATAACACAAAACATAAAATAAAATGAAATAATAAAAGGACTGACTGTACAGAAGATATTTGTGTTAGTTCCAACTTGTTAGAACACAACTAGTTACCTTCTGTCGCTTTGGATTTGTCATAAGGTGTTTACCACTATTTTATCTACTCCGTATACTTATATATTTATATAAGTCATCTGCTACACGACCTATGTTAATTGGTTTATGATGTTATACAACAATTTGTTTTCACCACTTCTACCTTAATACCATATGGCCTCATTTCTATGGGACGTAGAATACTCTTACTAAGCAAGTCAATTATATTTTAGAGTTAAAGAATCTGTTTCAAAACAGATCTGTTCAGCTTGATATTTGCATTGGCCGCCTCGACAGAACAATGTAGCTGCCCATGACACTTTCTACCTCAGACGCTGCATGTTAATCGTGTACCACCCATCTTTCCTTATGCTTCCCATCCAGTTCTCTGAAGTGTAACCAAAACACATCTCCAGCTACACCCATGACATGAATAGCTGAGTTTTCAAGGTCCAAATAACATTGCAGCATAATGATATCCAAACATACCACCACTGGTAGTTGTCTGTCCACATCAGGTATGCACACATTTTGTGATCTTGGAATCAAATGGAAAATGAAATCTGAGTATGGCTTTATAAACAACACTGTTGCTGAAAAGCCTTGACATGAGCTAGCGTGGCTTCAGTTGGCCTTGTTGTATTATCCATTGGCTCTGAACCCCTTTTATAATTGCAAAGCCACGAGAGCAAAGAACGCCAAACCAACCAACCCCATTTGGAAGAGAAAACACAGAAAAACACCAGACAACAACCAGATTTCTTGGCAAGCTTGAAGTCAGAGGTTAACACTGCACTGTGATTAGATATGAATAAGCAAATCAGAGGCCTGGTACAGATGGTCAGCAAAACAACTTTGCACCCATTTTATTTTTTCCCATGTAGAATGCATGGCAACCGACACTGGGAGAGTAACAGAAGGTAGCTGGATCACCTGTCGTCATGAGACCTAAGTATGGGCTTTTATGACATGGTGCTTCTGTTCAAAATGGTCTTTGGCCTCCAGATCATGGTTTTTCTCCAGCTGTCCATTGACTCTGTTACCTTTGACCTCTTCCTGATCAAAGCCATGGCATTTGGTCTGGTGTTTCCCATGTTTATTCAGTATTGTGCTTAGGGCCCTTGCTGTATCACTGCCGTTGTACGCAGCAGATATCTTACAGTGTTGAATGGTTGACGTAAAGACTGGATAGATGTTCCACAAGGGTAGCTAGGATGTTTCTGGGGGTACCTGTTGAGTTAGAAATGTCTGTTCGTGGACTGAATCATGGTGGGATGTGTACCCATTGGCTTGGAGTTCACTAGCCATTCTTCCTCCTCCTGATATTGTGCTCAGAATAGGAGGGTCCTCACCACTCATCTTTTTTGCTGTGAGGGGAAATGAAGGTCTGTTTGAGTGGATTTATTGCATACTCTGCACATGAGCAAAGGTATTTAGGAGACAAAGGGTCATAACTGTTTAAGACAAATATCTAAGTCAAATTGAATGAACCCTTTTTATGTTTTCACAAATAACACATTTTGAAGATGGTTACTTTTGGCTCATGGCCATCGTGAATGTTATACATTGGATTGTTTAGTAAGGGTGGTGCCAGACATTATTGCACATACACATATGACGAGTGTAAAATAATGAATTTTCTTGCCATACTCTCTTGGGAGGTTAACTGAAACTATTCGCTGCATATGTAACTATGTAAATTAAACATTGTAATACTTTTCTTTCGTTACAATAATGATCAGCTCCTCTCCTATATGTTAATTTGTAGAATGGGTCTTGAAATATACCACCTGAATTAAAAGCTGTATGCTAGAATGGTACAACAATTCTGTTTGTTTGATGGCAACATGACACCATGAGGGACAGCCGAAATGAAAAATTAATTCTCAAAATTTCTTCTAACAATTCAATGATTATTGCATAATCAAGTCATAATCCTGGTGTCTTTTTTTTTTTGTTCCCTGGATGCAGATAAATGTTACTCCAACCAGACCAGTCCCAAGTGCGTCTCCTCGTCCCCTTCTTCCTCAGAGGTGGAGCCCAACTCCTCTTCCTCCTCCTCCATCCTCCCCGTCAGCCAGATGATCGATAAGGTGAAAGATTACTGCTCCACACGCACCGACAACTTCTACAAGAACATCATCATGTCCGACAGCTTCGCCCACAGCACCAGGTTCTAGAACTTTCCTCAATGTTCTGGGGTAGAACTTCGGGAGCATCCCCCCTGTGTTTTGGAACTACCCGACTACAAAATGTTGTGACATCTTCCTCCTGGCAACTTCAGTGACAGAGGCTTCCGTTTAAGGTTCCAATATGAAGGGCAGCAATAGAACCGGCCTCGCTGTTCTAGAACTGCCCACTATGTTATTTAAGGCTTCTCTTTTGTTCCAGAACTACTACCTATAACATTCTAGAACTCCCTGACACCCTCTGCCACAAAGGATGGTTATAGAATTCCAAGGGCTATTACCAAAACCAGTCCGACATTCTACATGTTGTTCCCAACTTTCTAGATCTTGTGACGGCCTCAGCATTTTAGAATGCTCCGTGTTCTGGAATTGCTCCAAGGGCAACTGCAGAAGCCCCTCCAACATTTTAGAACATTCCAAGCTTCTGAAACTCCCTGGCTAACATTCCGGTACCTTTTTGGCCTGACACAGGAGAATGTGTTCTAGAACTCTCTTGTCATCTAGAAAGCCTGGATCCTTCCCGCCATCCTCCCTTACCCTGGAGCTTTGAATCGGAATCCCTTGTTGAATTTGAATGTGTTTCATTGTGTTTCATCATGTACATACACGAGCCACGATTTTAATGGTAATTTTTATCGGACTGATTAGCTAAAATTCAACATTTCTGTCAATATCTAGTCATTAGAATTCATGAACAGCTGGTTGGTCTGTGTCACAGAATACTAATTAGCCGTTTTCCAGAATACCAATGCAACATATAAAGAATGCAGCAAAAATGCATGAAAAGCTACAAGATTTAAACCAGAGCCACCGTTTTAATGCACTGTCTTTGCTTTGTATGAAAGTAGCCTGCATCAAGAAAAACCTGCCTTGTCATGAAAAATGTTCAAAAGGAAGCCTGTGAACTTGCTGCAACAAACTGCTCAAATCCCAGAGACCATGTTAGGATAATCGTGGACATAGACCTGGTTTAAAATCCCATGGTCTCCTGGATAGTTAGGGGTGTCTGACAGCTACGGAGTGGTCAGAGAACGTTGATGCGATTCTACTGTATCATATCAAATTACAGAATCGGCTGACCTGGCTGCCAGACTGTGGGACTAAGAGGAAATGAAAGGGAGCAGAGGAGGGAGGAAAGGATAAACACAAGGTGGGAAGGTAGAAAAAAAGGAGGAAAAAAAGTCCTGGTAGAAAAAATAGTAGGCTGTTATGTCTTGGTGTTTTTTTAATACTGTGATGTTTGTTTAAAGTGGCCGTGTGCATGTGTGTGGAGCCATATCCTATGTAAATATTGATGATCTATCTATTCTGTGTGCCTTATTCTATAGTGTTATAATATGTCCATGTGGTTGCTTTTGTTCATGCCTTCACAGGGTCCTGGAAGGGTCACCGGGACTGTACATACAAACCAAAACATACTCCCAACCTCCCCGTTTTCACCTCTGTGAGAATACAATAGAATAGTTTGTCTTATACCTGAAAGCTATAGACCAGTTGATCAAGGTGCATTTTGGCATTTCGCTTAAAGATTTTAGATTTTTTTAAAAAACATATTTGCATTCTATTATAATGTATATTATCATGAAAAAACAAAGCTTGGAAGCACAATGACACATATTTCGAATTTATATCGGAAATATCTCAACTTTGCTTAGAAATGCCTGGACAGATATTCTTGACAAACGAGTGCTGGTAGATTAAAAAAAATTGTAGTAATATTTACCCACTGGTTGACACCCATGAAAATTGAAGTTGTCTCCATGTGGACAATGTTGGTTTAAGGATAAATAATAAAAACCAAACTAATGCCAGTGGCCACTGAAGCTCTGCTCCCTGTACACGTCAGCCAAAGTTTAGCAATCATGCAGGGTGGAATTTATGGCAACAGAATCCCTGTTAAAGTGAGGAATCCTGTGTGTGTTCAAATTATATTTTTTTTATTCAGCGACTGGTAATGGCTTGTTTTTATGATAGCTTAAAGAAGTCATTGCATGAAGAAGCTGCCAGGATGATATTACAATCACCTTAACTGTCAGTTCAGCCAAATTACAAAAAAATAAGAAGCTTTCCCATGGTGTCTCCAGCCATCAACATAGTCTGGGTTTAATTCAGCTGAGTTTTGAGAACGCCTGCCACCACCCAAATGCAATGGAGGTGAACAGAAATTCACTTGTTGTGCTTCAATAATAAAAACCATGACATTTGAAAAGCTCATGCAGCAAAACAGTCCAGAAACAATGTCCAGATTACTCTGGATACCCTACAGACCTTTAAATGGACATTTTACAAATTATTACCTAACAAAATAGTCCCCTGGAATCTGTTGACAGTGAGGTCTGTGGATTATCCAGAGAAATCTGAACATTGGTACTGGAAACATTGATGATCTTAGGACCACAAGTGAAAGTGATAAGTATCTAAAAACTTGGAATGAGCGCAGAAAAAGACACTCAAGCAGTGAGAAAATCTGTTTTTGTGATTTGGGAGGACTGACCCTTTAATGAAACAGTGTATGTGCAGTAGGGTCTAAAGCAATGAGCCAGAACCAAGAGGCCTTTTTATTTCATCATTTATCAAAATTCATCCATGTTTGTTGGGGAAATACCTGATATCGATATCTTGACTTTGAGTAAATCTTTTGTAATATCTGAACATTATTCCATCACTTTATAATACAGCATTTATATTGGGTTTGAATTGCGGAAAACCATGAAAGTCAACACCTCCTGCCCTTCAAACCAGCCTGTCAACAAGTCTTGAAGTGTAATTGCACTTAATATCCTCTTTGTAAATGAATCCTTTCCAATAGATTGGAAGCCAAAAAAGAAAGTAAGAAAATAATGAGGTTCCTCTATGGACTTCTGCATGCAGCTATCATCTCCTTATATAAGCTCTCCAATTTGAACTGATGTGTAAACAATAGGTTCCTGTGGTCATTAGCAGTGACAGTTTGGCCCACCCAGAACATTTAGTCATCAGCAGAGGAGGTTTGGAAAATGTAAGTGTCACTCATTACTGCAGTCTGACAGTTGTCTTTTATGAACTGCAGTCAGACCTTCGGTTCAGTTGCATTTGTATCATAGATACCATAAGGATGTTTAGTTGCTATATTATTGACTTGATGTACTGCTGTGGTCACTTTAGGTTTCTGTTTAGACTTAATTTGGATGAAAAAAGTTGTAAAAATTGCTTGGCCATTTGTTGCACTGCCTCATTAAAGTCTTTTAATTTACCCTTGCTTTGGTATATAGAATATTTTTCCAGCACTAATGAAATCCACTGTTGGTAATACTTTATTTTATGGGTCCAGTGTTTCCTGATAACTTTCAGATAATTTCTTGGAAAGAACTTTTGTAATCACATATCTATTATATGGAAACTATGAACTATGAAAAGAAGTTATGAAATTGTAACTTTTATTTAGTTACTTGTATTGAGTTTAAGGGATTCTTGAGGTTCGGCTAGTTTAGCATATCATTTAAATTAATAAATGGGTTTTATGACTTTGACTTTCACTTGCACATTGTCATCCTCAGACCTTCATGTCTGCACCAAATTCTTTCCAGAAAACATCCAAGGGAATTATTAAGAATTTGTGAACCAGTAGAACACAGGGCACCAAACAGCTAAGACTTTTAACACTGAAAGGACACTGAACCCTCTGGTATTTGTTTGCATTGCAAAATTGTTAAAGCTGCAGTAGGGAACTTTTACAAAAGTAACTTTTTGTTATTTGCTGAAACTTTCACTATATCCTGACTGTAGTACATGAACAAAAAATCAGGTTCCTCTGGCTCCTCCTAGTGCTCCTAATGGCATTTGCAAGAATTCACTGGTCCCAAATAAAACAACAGATTATCTGTCTCATTTCTACTGTCAGGATACAGTGAAAGTTTCAGCAAATATATAAAAAAAATAATTTTCCCCAAAAAATACCTGCTGCAGCTTTAATAATCAAATATGATAATATAATAATAAACAAAATACTTACATAAATTTCAGTTCTGCATCTTGGTTCAGAAAATGTACATTTCACTGCAAAAACTGAGTTTTTGATAAATGATAGAGACAATTAGATCTTGGTGATGGATTTTGTAGCTTTGGCACACTCGGTTCACTAATCAAATCCTTCCTCCAGTTTTACCTTGTGGTCACCATGAAAGAGATCTTAGAGAGGAGGCTCTGAGGAAGGCCGAACTGTCAGCATGTTTTTCTGAAATTGAGATTAGTTCACTTTGCTCTGGAAATCTGTGTGTGTGTGTGTGTGTTACCTTTTTATGATTTTGGATGTTCATCCTGGTTGTCAAAATTAGAATTAATTCACAATTTGTGTTTTTATCATTTTATGATGGTGATTCATCAATTTTACACTTTTTTTCTTGTCCAAAATGTTGAGAGAATTATTCCACAAATGAAGCAGAAAGAGGATAAATACAGTAAACATGCAATGCAAGACGTTTCTTTTTCAAAAGGGGAAAAACAATGCATTTTTTTGTGAAAAACAAAAAAGAAGAAAAAGAAATAGAAGAAATAGAAATAAAATTTGTTTCCTTTGCTTGGTGTCATCTATTGTTGTCAAACACCGTAGCTGAACGTTTTTTCCTTATTCTTAAGTTTGTCTTTCTTTGCCTTGTTAATTTACTGTGTGGTATATTTTATTTATTTTCTGGATGTACAGTTTCTCTGCGCCTGTAGCTGATCTAATTTAGTCTCTGTTTAACCAGACAATCATCTGTACTGAGAGGTAAAACTTGGAGGATGAACACAGAGACCTGTCAGAGACATGAGCTTTAGACTCTGGATCTCTGGACGTCGGCTCGTCAACTGTTGGCTAACCAGACTCCCATTGTCCGAGCGGAGCCAAGCATGATTGTGTGGTGAAGCACGCATTGTACTGACTGTCAGTCTCTTTTCTTTTGCCCAGAGTGGCGGAAGAATGCATTATTCAGCCCTCAGAAACAAACCCCCAGAGACTGCTGAAGAAGAGATGAAGACCCTCTGGCAGCTCCAGTGGCATAGCTCGGCTCTGTTCGTCTGTCAGTTGCTGGCCAAGGTTCAACCTGAGGGTGGAGAAGACAGCTCTTATTTTTTCTTTCTCTTGGCAGCAAAATAAAGGTCAAGTGTGTAACATACCTATATATATATATATATATATATTATATATGTATAGGAATGTTAGGAAGGCGAGCAGTTTTCAGTAGGTTGCAATCTGCTCCCTTACCACTAGATGCCACTTAATCCTACCCACTAATCCTGTAAAAGGACTGTTGCCATTTGGAATACTTTGTGTCACATTTTGACCTTATGGCTTCCATTTGTATTGCTGGTGATCTGTCTTATGGTTAGAACTGATACATTCATGATGTGACAACCCCTTTTAGGATCAATAGAGAAGTTTCTCTCTCCTCACTTGTGCCTGAATCCCGTTTTATTTAACAGTTGTTTGGCTCAGCAGAAGGTGACTCAATCCGACTTCTGAAATCACCTTAAATAAACTCCATTTGTTTGTTTTTGGTCAGATGGTTGAACATGTGTGGTGCTGAGGTCCAACCTCAGTAAACCTGTGTAATCTCACAGTGACAGAGCTGCATCGCGAACAGCCAGAAGACTCTATAAAACTGTCCATTTCATTCCCACTCAACTGTCTGGTTTTAATTCTGTCAAATGAATGGTCTCCTAACCCAACAAATATCTTTCACTCTATCATGTGTTTTCTCTTTCATGTCATATGTACAGTTCCAATTAATTTAATTATTTCTCCAGTAACTCTGAACTCTGTCTAGTTGGAGAGTATTGAATCCAGATATGTTCTGAAGAGGACTGCAATTCATCTTTTGCTTTTATTGTTGTTTTTTTTCATTTGTATTATTATGATAATTATTATTCTGTAAACACTTTCTGGCGATGCATGCTTGTCGGTGATGGCATTATCTGGAAGCTCAATTCAGCATCTCAACAATAAAAATAATTAAATGTTCACTGTCTGATTCAAGCTTTATTTTCACAGAGACACAGAGCTGTTACCATGGCTGTGGACTCCACTAGGAGCATTGTGGTACATCCCAGAATAATTTCTCCGCTCAGTTGTGCGTAGAATATGCTATGCTATTTTTGACAGAAACCGCAACCCACTCGTGTCAAGCAGCCCAGAGCATCTCGCACTGGCAGGAAGTCAGACACAGAAATGGCAAAGAGAATCCGGTCAAATTTCAAGATAAAGTACTGCCTGCAGACTCCAGATAAAATTTCATGTTAGATCAACATTGTGAGTCGTGCTTTTGAGTCCTGTTTCCTGGTTCAGTTATAACACAATGTATGTACAATTACAGAGAATATGTCAAGAAAGACTGAAAGGCCCTGATTCTCATTTTATTCATGGTAACTTGTGATCTTTTCTTGAACCTAACCAAGTACTTTTTGTGGCTATACCTAACCAAATTATAACCGTTTCACGGCGTTAACCAAGCTTTATTTTGAAATTTGAACCAGAACTTGCATATTTATTATTGCTAAATTGACTGCAGAGCCCAGTGCAGTGAAATTACACTGGAGGGATACCTAGTTTAAAGGCCACTGACTAAATGGCAGTATTTGACAACTTTGGTGTGAGAACGTGTCAAATCAACCTTGCAGTTCCATCCCACTAGGTTTTCATATTACAGTGTGGCCATAAGTCAGAGAATACAAAGTTAATAAAATTGTAGCAATATGGTGTTTAATACACAGTTCGCAGGTTGTAAACGCACAGATACAGTTTGTGTTTGTAGCTGGTTGTGTGACTGATCTCCAACTTTTTATTGTTTCACTTTTTATAGCCTCCTTGTTACACATTGAGTCTCTGTGTGCAGCCAATCCTCCATTTGACCTCCAGGACGGAGCCAGCTGTGGTTTCCCAACCTTTCTTTCCACCTCAACGCCATCTTATCTTCACTTCAATCGCAACACTGGGGTTTCTCCTTAAGCATGCGGTAAAGCAGCTAATCCGCTAAGCACACCGTGAGATATGCGAGAGGTCTGTCAAAAGAGAGAAAACACAAGAACTCCCACATAATTTATCACACAGTGTATGGAGATTGGGTGGTTTTATAGACTAACAGAGACAGACTGCACACACACACATACCACATACATACAGTGTACAAACCAGAAATTGCTCTGGTTTCATTCTTTTGACTGCCGCTGTATCTGGGTGAAGTCTGTGGTTTGGAAGCAGAGGAGTTGATCTGAACTAATGTGATCCTAAGGTCAGAGAGGTTGCTGGAGGATGAAGAAGGATTATATTATTATAGGGAGTCCCAATCTTTGAAGTCCTTTAAAGATAAGAGGTGAAACTGCATTAGTGTGGGTCCAAGAATCACATTTAGTCAGGCTTTCCACACCCTGACATCAAATCTTACCCCCTATCTGTTCAGTAAACATAGACATTTCAGATTTAAGGGCCTGATTTGGAAGCTTTGACAATAATGTTTAGCTTTTAGTAAAGATAGTTTCTTCATAAATCCTGATAAATTGTGAAAGAGGCGTTTTTGGATGCATGACGACCAATTTTGTTAGAATAAAAATGTATTTGCTACATTACAGTTTTTCTTGATTGCGACATGCTTAATGACACTGGGATCGACTTCATCATCACCTTCTGAGCACAGCAGAAGTCTTCTCTTGCAAATGTGTTAACACTTAATTTCACACCCTGTTCCCAAATATCTCACAGAAAGATACAAAACTCAATGGGATTAACTGTGATAAACGGACAACATCTACTCACAGCTGATAGAAATTACTTATAATTATGAATCTGTAATGCACCTGTGTGAAACTCCAACCAGCAATCAGTCCTTATCCCTTTGATACCACCTCTGTGTGGCTGTTTGGTCTAAGGCATGCAGGGATTGAGGTCATGGCAGAAGGGCCTGAGGAAGAGGAGTTGAAATGCACAGCAAAAGGGGTAAATAGAGCTTTAAGTTTCAATTTTTTTTGAGGCCCTGTTAACAGGACAGCGGTTTTACCAAAAGAACTGTTTTAAAAAAGTTCTGTATTCATACCAGGGCTGTAAACTAGTTTACTATGAGAGAAAGTAAACTAGTTCTTGCTGCAACAATCGTTTGACACTATTTTCATTTTTCTGCAAATATCTGACTGATGACAAATGCATCGACTGCATGAATTAAATGCAAGACTCTTCTCAAGTCAAGACGGTTTACTCGACTATTAGGGGGCAGCCCTAGTTCATAC